TTTATTATGTATACAATATTCCTTCTGTGTGTATGCCTGCACGCCAGAAGAGGGCACCAGACCCCATTACAGATGGTTGTGAGCCACCATGTGGTTGCTGGGAATTGAACTCAGGACCTTTGGAAGAACAGGCAATGCTCTTAACCTTTGAGCCATCTCCCCAGCCCCAGGACTTTTTCTTGACTGTGAATTGATGTTGAAGGGCCCAGCCCAGGCAGGTGGGCCTGTGTATAAGAACGGGGGCTGGATGTGAACTTGAGAGCAGGCCCGTGAGCAGCATTCTGTTGTAAGATATTTGATTACACTGTGTAAAGATGTGTCACTGTGATTGGTTTAATAAAAAGCTAAATGGCCAATAGTTAGGCAGGAAGAATAGGTGGGCCTTCCAGACAAAGAGAGGAAATGGGGATGAAGCTAAGCCTGGAGGAGACACCAGGAGACACAGAACAAGTCAGAGGTACAGAATGAAAGAAAGGTAATAAAAAATGTGGTAAAACATTGATTAGAAAAAGTGGGTTAATTTAAGTTATAAGAGCTAGTGGGGAAAGCCTAAGCTATAGGCTTTCATAATTAATAACGAGTCTCCGGATCATTGTTTGCGAGCTTGCAGCCAAAGAAAAATGCATCTACAGCATTCCTCTGTGGGTCCTGTCTCCAAGTTCCTGCCTTGAGCGCCTGCCCTGGCTTCCCCTGATGACGGACTGTAACCTTGAGTTAGGTAACTTTCCTCCTTGAAGCTGGCTTTGGTCATGTTTATCACAGCAACAGAAGCAAACTAGAGGAGCAATTCAGAGCTGACTGCATTAGACTTCATCTCTAATGCAAACCCAGAAACTGCCCAACTGCAATTCATTCCCACTCAAAGGATTTGTATAAAAGATATTTGTGATTTATCATACTTACCTTGCTTAATTTTTGAAGAGCATTTTTATTTTCATCTACTGCCTGTTTTAACTGGATACATCTAAAATTTTTAAAAGATAAAGTATAAGTCAGTTCTCTATTGTCAAAATTAGGCAATTATTTTCATGAAATCATTCAGTCACTGAACAACAAGATGTACTATTCACCTACAATACGGTTTGTCACATGAAGACAGCTGAAGTTACTATCCCGAGCAAAGACAAATGGCTTTTAGAGAACTGTGACCAGGTCACCAAACCTGGGCTCCTCAGGCCAATATCCTAGGGTAATTCTTCCTATGCCAGAGGTTCATCCCGAGCAGCTTTTACAGTTACTGTCACGAGGACAAGTCACACTGCCAGGTATGGTGTGCTTCTTCTAGATCTGTGCTACGCTGCTATGCGGAAGTTCTAGGCCCAACATCACGGGGTCCAGCTAAGCACCTCCCCTCACAGAACTGGCATTTCTCTGCGCCCCCAAACACTTGTCTTCCTTATTCAATGGCTAATTTGACTTCCGCATTTCCATTAACAGGCATCTCACAGTGCTATTGTGAAGATGACGAAGAAAGCTTGCATGGTGCTGAGTATGCGGCTTGGACAGAGGATGAAATATACACAGGCCTCCTCGTCCTAACACAATTCCGTCCTTACCCTCTCCACTCCGACACTGACCCACTGACAGCCATATTTTTACACACAGTTAGAAAAGTTTCCCCGCTGTCACCTCCACATTATTCATCATTATTATTTTATCTTGGGGGAAAGGGGAGGAGTAGGAGCTAGAGAGACCGCAGAAGGTGGTGACGGAGGAGCTGAAACTCATGGTCCTGCTCAGCTGCACAGTGACCGGAAGGCCAGTGTAGGATTCACAGACTCTGTCAGTCCCCCTCCCTTCTTCTTTTTAAACGAAATATTACATAACACATCATCTTTTAAACTCTTTGGGCATCATAAGTGAAGTCTGCTCACGTTGTGCGCTCGTCAGCACTGTCTCACCAAATGACCCTTTCTTGCTTTTTAGATTGTTCTCAAGCAATCAGTTCATAACGTAGTCATCAAACTTAAGAGACTGTCCAGACAGAATCTCTCTTGTTGCAGTAGATAACTGATCAGTTCTGGTTTTTTGTTTGGTTTTTTTTTTTTTTTTTTTTTTTGGTGTGTGTGTTTTTTGAGACAGGGTTTCTCTGTGTTTCTTTGGAGCGAGTCCTGGAACTAGCTCTTGTAGACCAGGCTGGCCTCAAACTCACAATGATCCGCCTGCCTCGGCCTCCCTAGTGCTGGGATTAAAGGTGTGCGCCACCACCACCTGGCAACTGATCAGTTCTGAAGGCAGCTGGCTGACGGGGTTGGGGTAGCTAGCAGCTCAGCTGCGTTGTACTGGTGCTCGTCAGAGAAAGGACGAGCCATGCAGGGCAAAAGAGACCCCTTTACAGGACATTATCTATCTCAGGGCTGAAATTGTGGGGGCCAGCCATGATAATCTAAGTCTGGGCAGAAAGGATGTCCTTTACTTCCAACCATTATCACCTAGGACTCTGGCCATGGATAAATTTAAATGGAGTCTGGAGTCTCAATAGTTTACCCTGAGACATTGCCTAGCAGATCAAGATTACCCGCCCCCCCCCCCCAAGAGCAGACCATGAATGGAAATTCCTGGCATTCCAAGCACTGTAGATAGAAACACCTGCCAGCACTTCACCAGGACAACCCTAGACAAATGTCAGCCAATCAGGGGTCCTGAACCTAAAAGACCCCTCACCCCCACCTTTGCTACTATAAAAACCCAATTCTAATTGAGCTCAGGGCTCTCTGGATATTATGTTGGACATGCGAAGAGGCCGAGTTTGCAAACTTGATTAAAATAAAGGCTCTTTGCTTTTACATATGGGACTTGGTCTCTCCTTTGTTGGCTTTTGTGGGACCCATGGATTTGGGCATAACAGAAACATTCTGCTTTGGTGAGAAAGAAGTGTCACAGGTAGCTGTCCTGTACAGGAGACACCCTCACCTTGTTACAGCACTGTATTTCAGTTGATGGACATTTTCTTTTAGGATTAAAAGTCAGTATAAAATGTCAATAACAGCCACAACAGGTTGGGGGTGTTGCTCGGTGTATTTTATACTTAACACATGGAACTCCCTGGTCTCAAAACCTGCAAAAATGACTAAAACCACAAACTGGTCAGGGATATGGCTCAGTGGTAGAGCTCATACACCCCCCAGTACAGGAGCGAGACATATGAGCCACAGGTGATTTGTGCACGGCCACTGATCTTTAAATTAGCTGGGATTGGGCATTTTAACAAGTCATGTGTGATCAACTCAATTATTCCATAATACACACTAGTGAAAGAACTGATTCTGGCCCCAAGAATAATACCAAACCTTCTCTGGTCTTGCTATCAGCCCAGGGCTTGCACCAGGCACTTGTGTAATTTTTACAACAAATACAGAATGGTATATTCATCTGCTTTATCTTCAGATCACAAGGTGTGCAGAATACTGATAACCACTGTATTGATTTGATGTCTATGCTGATTTTATGGGGGGGAGGGCATAGTTATATCTACAAATAAAAAACAGAAAGTACAAAGAAACTACAAAATGGAAGAAACGAGGAAACTGGAGGGAAGTGGAAATGACAGAGTGACTGTGAGCATGATGCGGACTAGACTGGTCCAGAGAAAGCCCATGGGGGGAGGGAACTGGGGGGTGGAGCCGCAGGACTAAACCAGCCTCCTGGAGATAGGGTCTAATTGGTGATCTGAGATGTGGGGAAAGGCAATTGGAAGGAAGGGAAGCCTAAGTAACTGGCGGTCTGTGTTTGCAGCGGTCTGTGTGCATGTAGGCAACCTTCAGGGCTCTTCACAGGTTCAGAAAAGGGCTGCATTAGCAGGACCTGAGAGTGAGTTTTGGGTCCTCTGATGCCCATTAGACATTTTCAGCTGCTCCTGGGTAAGGGGAGGGGCTTTCAACCGGTTTGAGCCAGACAAGGCTTCTTCCTCAAAATTCAAGAGGGGGGGGGGGAGAGAGAGAGAGAGAGAGAGAGAGAGAGAGAGAGAGAGAGAGAGAGAGAGAGAGAGAGAAAGAAAGAGCACATGAGCAGCACACATTACCTTTGGTAAATATCTCTTCTTTTACTCGGTTCCAGAGCACCTGTCAGTTGGCTTTCAGTAACCAAACTATCAACCTGTGACAAATAGAGACAATTTAAGACATCGTGCCAACTACTGCATAGCCTTAAGAAACAGAATTCTAATCATCTTTCCCCTAATGTATAAAGAACAGTTTTGAACATGGGCATACAATAAAGTAGAATTTTATAGCAAATACTACTACCTGGATTCTGTCATTAACATCTTATTATGCCTGTTTGCTTTATCTATCCAGGTTTTTTTTTTGTCCTTGCAAGTCACCAATACACTTTCCTCGACTAATATACCACTGGCCTCACTAACTAGAGTTCACTGCTTAATGCAAAATTCACACATGGAGATGCCCAGATCTGAAGCCCACATTTGATGCACCTGAGCAGATGTGTTTGCTTTAGAAGACCAAACCTTATCATGACAAACAGCCCTCAACAGTGACTTTATTTCCTCCCTAATAGATCTTCACTGCCTTTCTCCTGAGACAAACCTGCTCACTTTCCCACTGCAAATGAGTTGCCCCGCTCACAGACATTTCTGTAAAGGGAGTTGGCGAGCCTGGCTCTGTGTAAGCCTCCTGGGTCCCGTTCTTTTGAGGTGTTTCTTACGTATGCATTGGTTTATTCCTTACTGCCAAGTAAGGTTCACGGTCTTGACTGTACCAGGACTTCCTCTTGACCTAGTAATTCACGAAAACTTCTTTTTTGTTAAGTACCCACAAAGAGGCACAAGTTCCTCGGCTTTTCTACAGAGTACGTGGGGAAGGCAGTGTTGGGGAGGGGAAGACATAAAATCATATTAACTCCCTCTTCATTCTTGGTGTTTGGTGCCCAGCAGAGCGCTACTAAAATTCACCCCCAGTGACAGGGCCATCATCAAAGGCATGGCCCAAATAACAGATGATTCTGTGTTCTGTGGATACCAGGTTTTCCCTTCAGGTATTGCTGTGGGAACCGGCAAAACTAATCAACACTGTCAACACGTCCTTCCCAGACACAGTGTAAAAGGGCTTCTCACCCTCACCACAGACTCTTCTTTCCAACAAAAAGACCATTACAGAAAACCACGAGATAAAAACACAGAGTTGTGAAGCCCTGTTCCAAATGATACACAACAACACAACCCCTGCACCTACATGCTGATGTGAGAGGGGTAAAGCTCAGAAGCCTCAACCCTAGAACTATGAAGAACTACAGACAACTAAGGAATGCGAGGAGATGGAGGAATAGTTTGTCTCCAGGGAAGAGCACACCAACGCCATCTAATACCAAATGGTCAGCTCTGAAAATGTATACATGCAAGTAACATAATACAGACTGAGTAGGCTGTATTTATATATTTAGGGACACACACACACACTCACAGACGTAACAATGATTAAAGAAAAAGAGGCAAAGAAAGAAAGATAGTAGAGGTAGAAGTGGGTGATGGTGGTACCCGGGAGGATGGGGGTGAAGGAAAGGGAAATTATAATCTCAAATATATATATATATATACATATATATACACACACACATACACAAATTATATATATGTATATATAATTTAAAGAGTAGGTGTCCTGAGCCAATCTGTCTCCTGATCAAATAATCCTGAAAATAGCAACTGAGAGTTTCCTGCTGAAAGATCACATTCCCCAGCTTCCCCTGTGGCCTGCATAAGTTATTTCCATCTTGACGTGGGCCCGTGCCATCTTCTTCTGTAGGCCTTTGGCCATCTGCACACATGAATGACAAAGATGCCCCCTAGCTGTGAATAAGCATGGTCCCGCCTAAGACCAGTCCAAGTCGATCCTTCCACCTTCCATGGCTCTACAGCTGCTTTAGATCACCTAACATAATGATGCCCGAAACCCCGGTTAGGAAATCCAGGTTAGCGACCTACTAGCCACTCAAGGTCACCCATGACCAAGCCTCCCTGGCTCTGTCTTTTCTTTCCACTCTCTGTCTCTTCCCTTTTTCTCTCACCTTACTGACAACCCCTTCCCAGGTGTGGAGGATGCTCTGAGTGATTGGATATTGATCCGTTTTTGCTTGGGTCCCTCATCCATTCCAAATTTCCTATAGAATTGAAACTGGCAATTCTCCTTCAATTTTCAATGGAAATCTGGCTCCATATACTTTGGGCAAATGCCTATTGCTGACCCAAATTTGGAACTTTTGAATTTCAGTATCTAAACTGATTTAAACAATTCCATAAAACAGAATGGTAGTGTGGGCAAGACCTCCTCCCCCACAAAACTCCCAGCTCACGTAAATCTATCTCAAGGCTCTGGCTTAAAACCACACCCAGAGCCCAAATGCCACTGTTTCAGCTGAGCCTCCAAACTTGCATCTTTACAATTATTCCTGAGATAACATGGAATTCTTTTGCCTTATGCTTTTTCTCCTCTACTTCTATGTCTGTCTTCTCAAGCCTGGAAAATCCTGCTTGCATCTTGCTTGTAAGAGCTAAGGGGTAAAAGCACCTCAAGTTGTCTGTCCATCTGCAGACACATACAAACAGCTATGGAGATGTATGTCACCAGGTCAGTCTTACAAAGAAAGATTCAAATGTCTTTTGGGTATGGATAATATCAAAAAATTGTTTCATGCGTTTAATTCTACTGAGAAGCTTGGGTCTGGAGTTGGAATTTGGCCCATCTACTCCAGATCCAAGTTTTGTTGTTGTTTTTAAATTTCCTCCAAAGCCTCTATCCTCGGTCAGGGAGGCCACCTGATTCTGTGACAGGGAAAAGAGAGGAACCCAGAACAGCCGGGAAAGGAACACTGCATTCCTGGAAGGTTACAAGCGGCAAGGTGAGTAACTCTGAATTCTCCCCACTTTTCCGTACTTTTGTTTACTATCTTTAAAACTTTTGGTGAGACTTTAACTTTCTGTACTTGAGGAATTCTAAGTTCATTGACTGTGCTTTAAGGAGGATGTTTAGAGAATCTTGATTTGCTATAGCATACTATGGTATGTAACCTGGCTTTAACTCTCGTTTTAGAAGAAAAAAGTTTCATCTAAACTCTTGTTTAAATAAGGAGTCCTAACAGGCTCACCTTGGAGTGATGGCTTGCAGCCAACTTGGTTGGTGACCTCATCAGGAAGTGAACCTGCTGTGTAACTTTACCACCATCTTGGTTAAGGTGATCATGTGATGTCCTTCTACTTATCATTGTATCCCCTTTTACTAAGGATGCGGCACCAGGCTCCTAAGATGGTTTGTTTTAAAACTGGGTCATACAGAAAAAACCGTGATAGTTTTGCTATCTTTGTTAAGCTTTAGCTATTTGGTGAAACTGAGTCATATAAGAAAACTGGCATTTTATAAGTGCGCACTATAAAAAGATCATAGCAATGAGGTCCTCAGTCTCTCTGTGGACTGTATTTATGGCTAAAGTTCAAGAATTAAAATTTTTAAGGTTCAAACTTTATAACAGATAGTTATAAAATTTCAATCTTATAAAAGTTACTAACTTATCATATATTGTTGAAGATAATTAAAATATACAAATTAATGGTCAGTCATGCTTATTACAAATGTAATTCGTTTCCAGAAACAAGCTTGGAGGTAGAGACCAATTTTATCTCCCATCACAGAGTGTTCTGTGTGTTGTCAAAATTAAGCCTAAAGCAAGTATGGCAACAGCAAACAAGTTTGAGATAAACTTAAAAGTTTGTTTAATGCAGTGAGAACACAAAGTTGTGTCGGTAGAGAAGAAGGGGTGGAACTGAAGGAATTGGGGGATGATCGAAATTCTCAGCATTTAGCAAAATATTTAAAAATAAATGATTTATTAATGCTGTAAAAAAGTTTGTTTAATGTAAAATGTTATTTAAAATATGGTAAATAAAATTGGTTATGAAAAATTGAATGTTTAAGTTAAATGAATTCTATTTATAATACACTTGCATGGCAGGACGTCCATGCTCAAGAAGTTCCCTTGAATGGAGCACAGGTCATCCCAGCAAAGTAAGTCGCATGCTGGGAAATAAGACTTGCCAGAAGCCTGCTGCTTCTGCCTCTGGCTGCGCAGGTCTAATCAGCTTCGGCCATGTAGGCCAAATCAGAATGAAAACAAATAAAGATATCCTTATGAAAAGATGAGTTACTCCTCATGACTCATATGACACAGGATGGTTTTTCTGGCTCAATGGAAGATCTCAGTTTACACTCATACCCTAAATGTCTCAAACAACAGAGAGGAAAATCACAATTACTCTGCCCTCACTGTCTTCCTAACTGACATATGAGGATACTATGTCCAGGGGAACCTTGGCCATAAGCCACCACCTGGCTGGTAATGAACCTACATGCTGGTTCACTTGCCCGTGCCCTTGACCCTGGTATTAAGTTCCTCTTAGCACAAGATGATTCCGGGGTCCACACCCTAATCATCCGTGTTGCCTCATTAGAGGAGGAGGCCAAATACTCTATCGTCAAAATCACAGCTTGGACTATCCAAGCGGTGTCTCTGACAGTTGGTTTTGTTGGAGTTACTCTTGGAATGTGTTCTCAGGCTCCTCCCAGGAGTAGCGGCTAGGAGTGAATCGATTTCAGCTTTGGTTATTCAAAGGCCTCTATGGAAACACGTTTCTCCAGGTGCAGCTTGTCCTTGTGATTGTGTACAGCCTGAACTCCTGAGAACTTTCCTCACGTGACCTTTCCGAACCCCCCCAGAGTATAAACTGTCTGATGTTCTGAATGAAGTTGGCTATGGCATGAGACTTTAGTCCACCTGAGTTATTGGCTCCATTCTCCCGGGTCCCACTGCCTCTAGAGTGAAAACATACATATTTAAGGATGATGTTTAAATACACATAAACATTGAAGTTCAGGTTAATCATATCTATATTCTCAAAAGTATTTCTTTATGATGAAAACATACAAAATTGTGCACTTTTAAAACAAAAGCCCAAAACTGTGTGACTCGTAAACTCCAGTAAGTCTCTCAATCTGTTAGAGATTATTAAATAAATTATTTAGTGAAAAAAATTCTTGGTAATAGACTACATGCCTTTAATCCCAGCACTCAGGAGGCAAAGCCTGGAGGATCTCTGTGAGTTCAAGGCTAACCAGGTCTATCTACTGAGTTCCAGATCAGCCGGAGCTACATAATCAAACTAAGATAAAATAAGAATTTCTGAAAACAAATGAACAATCCATTAATTGTAATTTATTTGGTTATTTTATTACTTCTTTTATTTTTTGAGATTATAATATAATCACAGCATTTCCCCCTTTCCTTGGTTCTTATTTTTAATAGTAACAGGAATTTAGTATCTTGAAAAAATTATATAAAGGCAAACAATAACCATCAGCAGTTTGCCCAATATACTATTCTGTCCTGCTTCCTTCTATATCTGTTTGTCTACTATACATAGCGAATGTTATTGAAATAGCGTGTATTCCATTTTACATTCTTTTTCCTTTTCATATTTATTTATTTTATGTGTATGAGTATTTGCCTTCATGTGTGCCTGTGTATCACAGGCATGCCTGGTGCCTTCAGAGGCAAGAATCAGGCATCAGCTCCTCAGGAGTCAGACAGCTGTGAGCCACCGTGCAGGTGCTGGGAACTGTATGAGGGGCCTCTGGAAGAGCAGCCAGTTTTCTCAGCCACTGAGCCATCTCTCCAGCTCCTTAGATTCTTCTTCTAACTTGCTATCTTACCACAAATATTTACTCCCAAACCCTAAAAGCTCTAGCAAAAATCTCTTCACAGCACTATCAGATTCCACCCGACAGTACTAAGTCGATAAGGAATTGGAAATGACATCACCAAGGGAAACTGCAGCCTTGTCTTGGTAGCTGTGTCTCCTGGCAGTCAGAATGCCCTTTTGTGGTTAAACATTCTGAAGCTGCAGTTAGATTGTTCCCGTTGTAACAGAGCCAAGGAGGCCACAACACTTTCTCAGTTGCCACACACGGACCAGAACAAAGTGCCCCGTCCTCCAAAAAAATCAGACTTACTGATAACGCTTCCATTGTGATTCTGACATTCCCCACCCCCACACATGGGCATTTCTACAGAATCATCATCAAAACGAGAGTCTAGTCAGCCATGATTCAGGAGAGAAAGAGGGTCATGTCATCAACATCAATTAAAACTTGTTTACAATCTCCAGTGGGAGAAGCCCAGGCTGGTCTCCGGCTCTTGTGGCCCTCTCCAGTCTCTCTGAAGGATATGCTTTATTTTGCTATACAGACTTCTGCGTAAGTGTTGAGTCCTGCCACTAAGCCCTTCCCCTCAAGACAAGAACTGAGAAGCCCTGTATAACAATAATTCGTCTATGGATTAGCTTAATCCATCCCCTAACACTGATCATTTATTCATATCCCGTTTTTTCCCATTATAAGCAAAAAAAAATGTGGTGAACACTTTTATATATTCATCCCAGTTTTAAATTATGACAAATGGTAGATTCCTGGAAATGTAATCAGCCAGCCTAGGAGAATCAATGTTTGCTGTATCTTGTCAAACTGCTGTCCAGAAATGTAGCTTATACACCAGAGCATCGCCTGTTCCATCACGTCTTCTCCAGCACTGAGCTTTGACGTAAAATCTTTGAGATCTTACCTCTTTTGTAAGTGCTTGATTTCCTTTGAAATTAACTTTTCTTAAGTTACCAATATCCTGTCCTTGGCTCGTTTATCGGACCTCAGGTATTAAGTCTATTCGTTGACACCTGTTACACTTGCCTTTGAGAAAGTGATGACTTTCAAAGGAGTGGCGCAGGACTGGGGTGGAACAGGATAGTTTAGACTCGGGCGGGAAGGATGAGAGGGGGCTGGGGGCTGGTGAGTCGTTAGCTGACTCACAGGCTTTCTGGAGGTTTTGTCTCCGGCGGGGGCCGGGGTTAATACTCTGCCGCCGGGCGCTCGGGTCTTGGCGAGCGGCTGGGATGTGGAGCCCTTCTCCCCGACACCTACCTGCAGTTTTAGTTCCTGCCCACGGCGCCTTAGCGCCTGCAGCGGGTCCCGCGGCCGCCGGGCGAGCATCGGCCTAGGCGCCGCCGGCGGGACCACACCGGTTGCCAGGGAAACCAACGCGTGAGCTCAGATAGATGACGCTATCAGCCCGCGCCGCCACTCAGCGCCACGGGATTCGCTAAACTGCCTGAAAACAACTGCTCTGGATTCCTAGGGATGGAGACGTACCTCGGAGTCCCAGACTGGGCGTCTCGTCCCTATCACGACCTCGTACTATTCTCTGTTCTATACAGCTCTCCGACGCATGCGAAACGAGTTCTTAAAATAGTTTAATCATAATAAACTCCTTAGCTGCGAGAGCTTTCCTGTGGCATTTGTGGGACTCGTGGTTTCGCTGCATGCTGTAACCCTATAGGCGGTTTTATTTTCGAAATAGCCTACTGTGTAGCCCTGAATTCACAGAGATTCTCCTGCCGCTCTGCCTCCCCCTAGTGTTGGGATTAAAGGCGTGTGCCATCACACTTGGCCCAGAGGTGGTCTTAAATTCTTGCCTTTTGGGATATTGCTGGTGTCTCTCCAGAGTTTTCATGTGATCCACCCTGAATTCTATGGGGGTGGCGATTCTGTCTTGTGCAGCAAGCCTATGGGCAAATAGATATTTCTCAAGAGTCCCTACATTTTGTTCACTCACAGGAAAGGTGGTGGCATTTCCCGAGTGAGACTCAACCCTCTACATTCAATTCCCAAAATCCACTACAGCAACCCAGGACTTAGGAATAGTGATGATCCAGGCTCACCAGTGGGCGATCTGGTATGTTATTCTCAAGGTATCCGACTATTATTGTGCCTTCTGGCTCCTACTTTACTGATTCCAGTTTGACCAAGACAGAGGTACCATCTTCATGGAAGACAGTTTTCCCGTGTGGGAGAGGAGGGAACCTCATACATTTCAGAGAAGGTAGAAGGAAAAGAAATGTTGACACAAGTAATGTCGAAGGGGAACGGTCCACTACAAGGTTAGGGACATACAGGACGTAACAACACAAATAGGTAGTATCAGGAAATAAGATTAGCATGGCATAGGACACCAACATGTTTAGAGAGGGATGCCCAGAGGTGACACATAAAAGGAGGAGTGTATCTAGATGCTGCATGTAAGCAATGAGAAAAGGCATGGCTCGATGGTTAAGAGTATTAATTGCTCTTGCCGAGGACCTGGGTCCAATCCCAAGCATCCACATGGTAGGTTGTAACCACTTTGTAACTCCAGTTCCAGGGGATCTGACATTGTCTTTTGGCCTCTACAGGTACAAGGCATGCATACGGTACCCAGGCATGCACTCAGGTAAAACTCATACAGATAAAATTTAAAATAACAGAAACTACTGCAAATACCAGGTCTTCTAGGAACAGGCCGAGGCAGAGCTGGTCCAGTCACAACTCAGTTTAACCTAGAATTTTCAGTTTGGGACAAAATGAAACATACACCAACTAAGCCTCAAAGACTACAAAACTTCCCCTACCCTGGGGCTGGAGAGATGGTTCTAAAGGGACCTGTATCAGATGAAGTTCTCAGAGGAAAAGGGAGGGGTATTTGTCCTGGGGGGGGGGAGAACACAGGACTGACGAAGGACTACTGCCTCTGGTTAGAGAGGAGACAGACTTGGCCCATTGGCAATTGGCACTTTGTAAGGATAAAAAGAGGAAACTGCATGTTGAGATGAGGCGTTCAATTTTGACTGGCATGTTAAAGGGGGCTTTTGATTGCTGCTGGACTTTAATACTTGATAGCTGAATCATGGTAGGTAGTCTCAGGGGAAAGTAACCAAATAAGGGAATAGACCTTAGTGGCTAGCTTTAGGAATATAATCTAACGGTTTTTAGCAAGGAAGTGGGAATGGGGGACAAGGGCAAGGCCTCCCAGTCATGTAGCCTTTTGAGCTCAATTAGGAAAATGCCCACTACACGTGGAAGATCTGGCATCAAACACCCAGCATTTAGGTAAAAAGATGAGGTGGACAGGGCAGTCTGTAACACAAATGCTGAGACCAGGCCAGCCAAATACAAATTCCCAGCTTCAGTGAGGGACTCTGGTTAAAGAAGGGGAGGACTGGAGAGATGGATCCGTGGTTAAAATGCCTGCTGCAAAAGTGACTATGTATGTGCCAAGTGGAGTGGCAGTCCCTCTGACTAACTTTGGGTCTATACCTACATACATAATCACACATGCACTCGTACACATGTGAATGTATGTACATAAAGGCACATACTCCACATACATGAGGAGAAAGAAAAGGCAGAGTGCAATGTAGACAGGCACTTCTGGTCCCCACACAGATGAATACCATCACCTTCCTACTTACTCTACCACAAAGATCCTCAACTAAGTCTCGGTGAGGAATATTGACCAAAAAGCTTCAGCCAACTAAACAGGATGGAGCTCTAAGAGCCAATGTCTCAGCCCTTGATGGACTCACAGAATAAGAACAAAGTTAGAAATAAAAAGGCACAATAACCCTAGAAAAATGGGCAGTGGAGTTTTCCTGAAGAATGAACTTTCTTATGTTAAAGTGCTGAGACACAAAACTGATTTTCTTTTGTTTTGCTTATTATTTTTTATTGATTTTATTGAGCTCTACATTTTTTCTCTGCCTCTCCCCTCCCCCTCAACCTTCTTCCATGGTACCTATGCTCCCAATTTACTCAGGAGATCTTGTTTTTTTCTATTTCCCATGTAGATTAGATCCATGTATGTCTCTCTTAGGGTCCTCTTTGTTGTCTAGGTTCTCTGGGGTTGTGATTTGTGGGCTGGTTTTCTTTGCTTTGTTTAAAAACCACTTATGAGTACATATGCTAATTGTCTTTCTGGGTCTGGGTTACCTCAAAACTGATTTTCTTAAAAATGAGGACAGCACATCAGAAATGCATCTTATAAATAAATAGCCCGGAACTTGGGCACTTGTTATGACTGGCGTTTATCATTAAGCTCTACTCAAAGGTTTCTCTTTCACACATACATTCCACGTTTAGACATAAAGAGTTTTTACACTCAACGTTTGCAGTAAACTTTCATTCTTCAAAGTGAAAATATCTTAAATGTTCATTCTTCAAAGTGCAAATATCTATAATGTTTACTTCAGTCATTTGCCATAGCTCCTATCTTTTCTGACTACATCTAGAAAAAGAACACAGAATGGTCCCTGGATCAGAGCTGCCTCCAGGCTGTACCGAGGATGTGAAAGATTCCTTAAGGCCTCTACTTTCAGGCTCCAGATCTTTTGCTGCAGCAAACTGAATGGTAGGCAAAATATTCATTTCCTCTGTGAGGAGGGAAAAGATTCAAGGTTGTTTAATCTTTTTATTTTAAAAATAGATTCATAAAGTGCAAGAAGAAATGCTTTCTTTCCAGTGCTTTTTATCCATCTTCGACAAGCTGTTGAAAAAGAAAGAAAAAAAAATCAGTAACACACAATCTTTAAATTCAAATTACTGTACTGTGACGGTAAACCACGAATAATAAGAAAACTACAGATAGCTATGAAACGTAAGGCTACTGACATCCACTTTTTCTACCAACAACTTAAGATTTAGAATTGAAGTTTGCAGGCTGGAGAGATGGCTCAGAGGTTAAGAGCATTGCCAGCTCTTCCAAAGGTCCTGAGTTCAATTCCGGACTACCACATGGTGGCTCACAACCATCTGTAATGAGGTCGGGTGCCCTCTTCTGGCCTGCAGACATACACAGACAGAATATTGTATACATAATAAGTAAATATTAAAAAAAAAAAAAGAATTGTTGCAAAAACTTCAAAGCCACATTAAAAATGAATTCGGGGGTGGGGTGGGCTGGGGCGTGAAATACTTCACAGTTGTCCCGCCCTCCCCCTTTTTCTGCCTAGTATTTTCCATTCCGAAGTTAAATGTTACGGTGCAACGCATCGCACGTGGTAAAACATTCGCTGTAACACCCGAAGAGTAAGTATCTAGAGAAGACCAAACTATTTTCTCTGAGGTCTAAGAACCAACCACATTTCTGCAAGCCGTGCAAAGGCGACTCTCCCGGGCGTGTGGGTCGCGCGGCTCACCGGCTCACCGCGTGGGACTTGGGGAGTGAGGACCCGGAGGGCTTGGGCCGCCGCGCGCGCTCAGGCCAGGTCCAGCTTCTTCTGAGTTGTCGCCAGCTTGTCTTGCAGCCTCCGCTTCCTCCAGTCCAGGTAACGCCTCCGCAGCCGATTCGCTTGCCAGCCGAGGACCACTCCAGAGGCGAAAGCCACTAGCACGGACACCTGCAGCGTCCTCTCTGACACGTCCGCCATTGTAGCAAGGAGGAACGTAGAGTGAACTACGGAAAGGCGAAAGGATCAAATGTAGCAGTGCTGGTATAAGACCCGCCCCAAGCGTGAGTAAGACAAGGGAGCAGCAGGCTGCAAGGTCAGGGAACCCTGATTGCTCTTCGGGCTGATGAGGGAGGGGGACTTCATCGGGGGAGGGGGAGGGAAATGGGAGGCAGTGGCGGGGAGGAGGCAGAAATAATAAAAATAATAAAAAAGACTGTCTTGATTTCTGGATAGGCTCCGCATTTCTTCCACATTTCTTGTTTGACATTGCCTTGTATCATAGCTGAGTTGGTGTCATCTGTTTCTGTTCGTTTTCCTAAGCAGCTGAATAACTAAGCTTTCTGCTAACTTGATTTTAAAATGATAAACGAAGAGAAAATTTGTAATGACACATTATAAATGAACAAATATAGACAATTGCCTTTAATATTTTGTTTGTCCCAGTACACATGTTATCAAGTCACTATGTAATCAGCTTCCATGTTACCAGTGTCAATGCAATAACCACAGCTCTCATTTTAAGGGAAGTTTATTCTGGAGCCATTATGAGTGCCCATGGCTTGGGAATACAGATTTAGGGTACTCCAACTCCATGTTCAAAAATAGAGGTAGTTTCAGTAAGTTTTATAGAACAGAAAAAGTCCTAAATCAAGGCAAATTTAAAATACACTGGCAGTTACAATACAATGGAGGCTTTTCTCTAATGTTGCCTTGACTGACAGAGTCCAGGAGAGACCGGTTTGTCTGGGATCCCCTACTGCACACGCACTGACCTTTCAGAGCAGTGCAAATGTCATTAATAAAGGGGGTTAGTATACAGCTGGATCAATACAGATGGAAATTCAGGCAAGAAAACCAACAGTATCAATAGATACTAATTTAAAATAACCATATTGAGAGTATCTTGTAGTTTAATAGTTAAACATAGGAAGGTTTCCCACTGAAGTAGACTGTCCAGGAGCATTGCACCATTATTTAACATCATTTTCTAGGTAGTAACCATTAACACAAAGATATGGCAAAAACAGGAATGACACACGATACACACTGCTTTCATATAGACAATAATATGATGCAGGGTGGTGGTGGCAAATGCCTTGAACCCCAGCACTTGAGAGGCAGAGGCAGAGGCAGGTGGATCTCTCAACTCCATGCCAGCTAGGGCAACACAGAGAAACCCTGTTTTGAAAACAAAAACAAACCAAAAAAAAAACCCACAAAAAACAAACAACAACAACAACAACAACAAAAAAACCCACCCACAACAACAAAAAAAATCAAGACTAGAGTGAAATGCTATTTACCTGCCAAAACAAGTCAAAAGCCTCATATATGTGGCAGTGGCACAGGAACAGGGCCTTGTGGACCCTGGCATAACTACCATGGGAGTTAGTTGCAGATACTCCTAGCGCTTGGGAGACAGAGGCAGGCAAATCTCTATGAGCTCCATGCCAGACAGGGTTACTTAAAGAGACCCTATTTTAAACCAAAAGCAAAGCAAAACTAAAGCAACAAAACATAGATGCAGGCAAAAACTTTCTGAATAGAACTCCAGTAACATAGGAAAAGAAACTATCAGCAGAATGAAGAGACTGCACACAGTGAGGAAAAAGTTTCCCAGCTGTTTCAGATGGGGGTAAATATATAGCATATTCAATGTGCAGACCCTAACTTATGTTTATATGCAGATAAGTGGGGCCAACAGTAACGGTAGCTTTGAAACTAAAAAGACCTTGAGAAGGAAAAGAGATATTGAGGAAGGGACACAGATAGATGAGACATGAAAGCAGAGTAAGCTATGGGGGGGAGGGTGTGTTAAGAGTACGAACAGGTCAGAAGGATGGGGGAGAAAAATCAACAAAAACAAATTTTGTCTGAAAGTGCCATAATGAAAACTAATCCAAGATATGCTAACTAAATGTAGCATATCTGTCCTTCTGGTCAATGTTTAGAAAGGTGATTTCTAGAAGGCATTTAAATTTGAATCATTCTCATGAAAACTTGTACACAAAGAGCAACCCAACTGATTGGCCTGCTTCACATGGGTCTCCTTTGTCAATTTCATTAGAATATTTATAACAACACATGGTGTATCTTATGGACTTTATTTTTTTGAACATACATAAATAAAAGTGTGAAAAAAACAGGATTCAATGTGGGAGGGAGTTTAAATTTACAAAGTGTTTTTGGATAAGGTCCATATCCATATTTTATTTTCTCAACCGCTTATATTCTGAGAGCAGCACAATTAGCCGATTACGTAGGGTCTTAATCTTGTTGGAATACTGTTGTTCAAATAATATCTTCAGTTTTTGTCTCAACAAACCCAAAGATGGCAGATGATAACAATCTGGTATATTCAACATGACATGAAAGAATTCCTCCCACATATCCAAATGAGGAAGCCTGAAGAGATAAAATATCACAATGGAAAAAATGCAACTTTAACATACATAGCAACCTGTTCATGCATCTACTTTCCACAGGTGTGAACATGTTAAAAGAACAGCCCTCACCTGTCTGCATCTTAGCAAACCAAGAATTCATCATACACAGGAGGAATTAAAAATCCAACCAAATGTCTAAATTATATGCTGTTCTAATAACATGATTTAAAATAGTCTTTGAGCAATAGTTCTTTAGTAGAAAAATCATCTTTTAAAGAAAATATGCCTTCGTTTGGCTTCTTGTATACCACACTGCCAGAATCTGATAATCTAGTACTTGGTTATGATAAGCCTAACTGTATATATAGCAAGGTATCTAGACAAAGAGGCTGTGGCTGCACTCTTTAGGACAGAGCTCACACTTAAGGGTCTTAACCAAAAACAAAATCAAAAACTTCAAAACAGGGAGAAAAGGCCCTGGAGAGAAAGCAGTACATACTAAAATGCCATTCTAGATGGAAACTGAGAAGGAAGCACTGGCTTTTTTATATGCTTCTGGCAATAGTCGGAGGCCTTCTGGACCCTCTGGTCCTTTGATAATGAGCAAGGGAAACAATGTGAATGAAGTACTTGCTGAATTTGATGGCTCCATACAGAATAAAGGACAACTGTTGTTAGGTTTTCTTTTGGGTTCCAAATCTACTGTACATGATGTATATAAAATTTCTGCAAACTCTTTCCTTTTCTGCCTTGATAGTGAGTGGGTGGGAGAATGAGGAAAACCTCACACTATACATCTTTTTCAGGAAGGAATAAACATGTAAAATTCCATTAGGCTAACACGAGTGACTTTTTTCCTGTATATGTTTTTATATCTCAAAAAAAGTTAATATGATATATGGAAACATACATGTATAGAATACCATCAGTGGTATGTTTACAGAGTGTTACCTAAGGGACAGTGCTGACATGATAAGCTCCAAACGAATCATTAACCTTTAAGTATTTCATAAACTAAAGTTACATAGGGCTGAAGCTTAAAAACCCTGTCTTGTAACAGAAGTTACCTCGTTTTATTTATAATTTACAAAACCACTTCACCTGTATTATTTTCTTTGCTTATAAGATTTGAGCAAAGCAGAATCATCATCATTCCCATTTACATAAACAAGAAAACAAACAAACAAAACCCCAAGGTTCGCCAACATTGACTTCACTTACAGTAAATAAAAACAGTCAAGAACAGAATGCTAACCCACAGTCAGTTCTCAATGGTTTTACAAGGCACTGAATGCTAGATTTGATCAGTGCCTAATGTGAGGATTATGTTCTATTACCAAAATCTACTACCCAGGTTCATTTTCTAGCTAGATAAAAATAAACTATTTTGCTGTTATTATTATTATTACTATAGTACCAATGCCAATAACCGACCTTCTAAAAAGACCTGCAGGTTTCCAGACTCCTCCTTCATTTTTGACTTTCATGTACGTCCCAAAGAGCATACAGTACACTGTTGCAGCAACTCCATAGTAATCAATCTATGAAGACAACAGACATATGCAATGTAAATAGTAACTTACGTGTGAGTATTTAAATAGGTCTCTAACTTAGGAGCTAAAGAACCATAGGGTTTTACTTTTATGGAATTCTGAAATCTTATGCTCTTTCACTTGGTGCAAACACAACAATATCTCAGTTTGGCAGCTCCCCCAATTCTATCCTCTGGGACTCTGGTGGTTATTGTGTAACTACACAGCAATGCCTCTGTGTGATATCTATATAACAGAACAGAACACTCTAGCATGGTTCAAATCTGTAGTTAGCACAATGTCTACTATCCACCTCCAGAACAGCACTTATTTACCTGAAGCATTACTGGGAGTAACGAACTAGATATAAAGCCCTCACTTGTGCCCCCTTTATTATGGTCTTCTGGAAGCCACAGATCTTATCTGGAAACTGGGCAGTTGGTTTAAACCAGGCTCAAAACCTTTACATTTATCCTAATTAGCAGTATCTTCCTGAATTGTCAACTAATATTTCACTCTGCTGAAAACTCTGAAACTTTCTCACAGAATGTATTTGCTTTTCTGCTCTGTTGACAGAATCTGTATTAAGAGAGGAAGACGCTTCAAAAGTAGAATTTCTTTTTCTTCAGCCTTACGTTCTACTTTTCCTTCAGTGCCCAAGAGACCAGTTCAAACTACTTGGAGCTCTAAACTCATTTTAAAAGTCTAGTAAGTGTAATGTTTTCAAACCTCTTGCTTGCTGTCCATACCTGGTAGTTCCAAGGCTTGTTACTGAGCATCTCAGGACACTGAAAACCAGATGTTTCACATTTTCCTGTAAATGCAGTTCCTTTAGGGAAAAGTTTCATATCTATACTCTGACCCAGGTCAATCAGTGCCAAGCCAGTAGCTAAATCTTCATTATTCTGTTCTAAAAATCTACATCAATACAAACAAGCATGTGTCAACAAATAATATAAGCACAAATAACAAAAGGATATCAAAGAAATGTTAGGGAAGAACTCCACTCAAGTGTCACACTTACGTGTGTCCTAGTATGAAGTTATCTGGCTTAATGTCTCCATGAATGATTTCGCAGCTGTGGACTTGTTCAATCATGTAAAGCATTCTGATAGCGAAGGTGATGACGAGAGCCTGGGGCATCACTTTTTCAGGGGTGTTTTTATAGAGGTTAATGGCATTCTAGAAATAATGCAAATGGTATCCTAAGTTGGCTGCAGAAGATTAATGAAATTTCAAGTCAAGGGCATACGCCTGCTTTTTATTCCAATAAAAGTTCCAATTGTGAAAAATAGTACAGGTAAAAACCAGAAATGTACATGTATTTCATGTTCATGTCATGAAAATTACTTACTAGTAATGTCCCATAGCTATAGAGCTCCCCTATTAATATGCTGCCATTTTGGAATAAGTGAGCAGAATAAAACTTGATGAACATGTGATGCACTTCTGGCTTTAGTCTCTCCATCAGCTGCATCCCAATGTAGAATTCCCAGGAATTGGCAGGTCTCTGAACCTACAAATCAAATCAGGTATGTGCTATGCATATCCTTATCCATATTCTGTAAAAGAATAGCAAGAAAGCAACTCCTCCCAGTTAAGGATGTTGACAAAAAGCAAGGACAAGCTAAGCACTCATCAGCAGTATAGGGCTGGCAGGATAATCTTAGTGGTAAGACAATTCCGAGTCTTCGTAGGATAGCTGTTTAACTGTTGACTAAGGCCTCAATGACATCAGTATTTAATGGGGAGTGGACAGCGGACGATAACTTCTAAAATTTACATATACACTATACAAGAAGTTACTCATTTCATTTACCTTCAAAACACATTTCTGTTTACTTCTGGTATCATTCTCATCTCCATGAACAGCTTCATAGACTTGGGCAAAGGCCCCTTCTCCAAGAAGGTGAGTCACATAGATTAGGAAAGAACCTTGGAAGATAAGTATGTCAAATTGACAAAAAGCCATAAGGACTGTCCAAGTGAAGAATTCCTGGTGCCTGAACTACTTTTAATAAATTAAAATGGGTTTAATCTGGGGAAGTTTTCCCAGACTTAAATGAAAGTAAAACATACATCTGCCACAAAAGTGCCTCCTTACAAATTCTCTAAACGAATGAGGGCAGCTCTGATGGCCCAGTATACTTATGTGTGGCCTTGGATACTGGCCCTTCCATTACCTGTGGTGCCAGCTCTGCACAACTGTTGAGGTATTAGGAAGACTATGTAGAAATCTGTAAAGCTTTTTGGAAAATATACATGTTTTACAGGAGAATAAGAAAGGCAAAGCATAACTGTAATAATACTTATAAAAGTTTAGGATGGTTAGACCAATTTTGTATTTTGAAGAGCTTTTTATTTAGGTGGTTGTGAGCTGCTGAATACGGGCACTGGAACCCAAACTGAGGTCTCCTGAAATTGCTCTTTCTTGGTGGTGATAATGATGTTCAAGACAGAGTTTCTCTGGATAACAATCCTGGCTGTCCTGGAACTTGCTTTGTAGACCAGGCTGGCCTCTAACTCACAAAGATCTGTCTACCTCTCCCCACCTGAGTTCTGGGATTAAGGCATGTGCCACCACACCCGGCTCTGAAAGTGCTCTTAACCTTTGAGCCATCTCTCTAGCTTGGAGTACATGCATTTTTAACTCTGATAGATTGTCAAATTAAAGTCCCAACAGTAATCACAATTCTACTATCATATCTTAACAAAATTTCTCAATACTATAGGTATTAACTCTTTCTTGAAGGTGGAAAGGGTAGAAGAATCTTTGAGTTACTCTAAGTTTCTCATAAACAAGAATTCAAAGTTCTATTACCCAATGCAATTCTTACCCAATTGGAATTCTGTCTTGGGCTTGATGGCTGGAAGTTTACACTGCCACTCAAAAGTATTTGAATAGCAACTCACTGGTTTAGAAAGCCCAGACAGAAGTTTAAGAATCAATTCGTCATCCCATGGGTTCTCAATAGTAAAGTCTTAAATAGAAAAAAGAAAAAAAAATTCAGCATTCAAATATTTTAACAGGAATTTTAGATAAATAAGTAAAAGCATTCACTAAATAAGCTTTCAAAATCTTACCCTAGAGCCGAGCGATGGTGGTGCACACCTTTAATCAGCACTCGGGAGGCAGAGGCAGGCGGATCTCTGTGAGTTCGAGACCAGCCTGGTCTACAGAGCTAGTTCCAGGACAGGCTCCAAAGCCAAAGAGAAACCCAGTCTCGAAAAACCAAAAAAAAAAAAAAAAAAAGAAAAAAAAAAGAAAAAAAAATTACCCTAGAGCATCCAATAATAAAAGAAGCTAAAATTGATATTGTCATTATTGTCACTTTAGGTCTACAAATTTAGACTATCCAGTTGTGACAAAGGGAATCAACTAGCTGCTTCCTGACTCATTTGGAGTGGCAGAATTCGTGCCTTCAAAAATTATAGCTCCATGCCTTGAAGTATACTTGGCCATTATTATTTAGTTGCTTCTAGTGTGCTCAGACATATACTCTTCACTGTTTCCCCCACTAACATACACAAAGTACACGACCTACACACAATGCGCATCAACGAGAATACTGTGTACACAAAAGGGAAAACAATTCCTAAAGGAGGACAAAGGCTTCTCTCCAATTTGATGTTATAAAACATTCTATCTGTGGTGCTTTGAAAAGGCTACTCTCCTACATGGTTACTGCTTTCTTAGAATATACAGAACATAGTTCTGAGATTTAGTAACTCATTTAGTTCTTACAGTAAGCCTTTAAGGTAGTTACTAGTATAACTTTCACTTTAAGATATATTTAACTTTTTTTTTTTTTTTTTTTTTTTGAGACAGGGTTTCTCTGTGTAACAGTCCTAGCTGTCTTGGAACTTCCTTTGTAGACCATGCTGGCCTCAAATTCACTGATACCCACCTGCCTCTGCATCTCAAGTGCTGGATTTAAAGGTGTGTGCCATCACCACCTGGCCTGTTTGTTTGTCTGCATTTATGTATATAAGAAAGCATCAGATTCCCTGGACTCAGAAGTCCCAGACAGTTGTGAGACATCATGTGGTGCTGGGAATTGAACCTGGGTCCTTGGGAAGAGCAGCAAGTACTCAACCTGAGTCATCTCTCCAACTAACATCCATTTTAAAGAGAAGCACCATAACGTGGCTGGGGAGGCTGGGAATTGGAGCCTTGCCTTAGAACTTAGTCTATCTCCTGATTTTATGTTCTCAGTTACTATGCAAGACTTTCTGTATAACAAGGGACAGAGGAAGATATCTCTTAATATTCAGTCTTGACTAATTGTTGTTACATACAGGGGTGAAGGTAATATTAGATTATATGTTTGACAAATAGCAAACTCCCAACCTTGAACTCTTTTTGAAAAGCTTTTTTGGAAGATTTATTTGCCTTATGTGTATACTTGTTTGCCTGCATATGTGTATGTGCACTTTGTGTATGCCTGGTGCCCAGAGACATAACAAGGGAATTCCAGATTACCAGAACTGGAATTATAGATGGTTGTGAGCCATCATATGTGTGCTGAAAACCAAATCTGAGTCTTTTTGAAGAGCAGTCAAAAGTTCTCTTAACCAATGAGCCATCTTTCCAGGCCCCTACTTCCTTTTTCTAACAGTAGCGATCTTAGTGCCTTTTAAGATTAAAATAGATTGACTGATTTCAAATGTGCTTGTAGTGAATTATTTTTGTGATGTAGCTGCAAGTCTGTCTAAGTTTATTTTCTACTCCGTCCCCACACTGAGTTCTTTCATGGAAAAGCTTTCCCATGCTATTGTTCTTATGGCACACTTAAGATTGAGCATGTGTGCATACTTGGAGCATTGACGTTCCCAAGTGAACTAGTCTGCATCCATTCAACTTGGAGTCCAGTGCTGGCGTCTGGTAGGTCCTCCATGGTCACAAGGTCAGTGCTTGTGCATTTATAAGTCTCAAGTCCAAACACTGCGTCCTGAGTGAACACACCACCTGCGGCAGGCTGGCTAGGATAATCTAAAGATGCTGAAAATTTCTCTTGAGTTGGACTGGATGTGCGAAAACAGAAAAAAAAAAAAAAAAAACTTGACGTGATTAGAAGTCTTATTATATTTGACCAAAATAAAATAGCTTCCTTTCATTCTAAGAACAGCATTTCAAAATTGTGTCACAGGTTGAGTTGATCAAATAACTTTTATTAAACAAGTATGTGTAAATACTCAAGCTACTAAGATAATGAATATAAACAGAAATAAAACCAAAGCCATTTAATGTATTAGATAAACAGGTAAGGTGGTATATTTGGTATTTAACAGGAATTGTGGGAATGAATTTATTACCCAAAGCTACATCTAAATAATACTACTGTAATTAAGACTGAGTGTTTTTCATTCTAAAAAGGGCTTCTTTTCTAACACTAAGACAAACTAAAATATTACAATTCAACAAGATTCTGATACAATATCTCCACTGGTCAAATAAGATGATATTTTACCTTATTACTTAAGCTTTCAGCTGTCTTTTTTTTTTTTTTGGTGGTGTGGTATCATGGAATTGATGTGCTTTTTATCAGCAATTCCACAAATTAGAAGTTCTATGACTTTGTCCTTGAGACCTGATGTCCTCATTTACAATAAGCGTTTAACGGAGTAATTGCCATAACTCAAGTTGTTGCAAGGATTAAGAGAACATAGCACACAGAAAGCATAAACACTGTGTCTGGGTTATGTTATGTATTGGTTACATCCACCAGCCTAATCAAATACAATGGGACTTGACTTTTGTAGCAGTACCTAAAGAGGCTTAAACATTCTATCTTCTCTTTAAAAGGCACTGGTTTTCTCAATTAAATGGGTGTGTAAAGCACAAATATGTGTTTTCTTAGTTTTGCAATAGTTGGCCTCAAAAAGAGGATTTAGTTTGAATACTGGAATGAATTTCAGAAAATATTAGCTCAGGGTCTGTTACTCAAGTTGCTTCTCTAACTGCCCTGACATACCAAGTCCTTAGGTAAATCACCATGTTTATATTAACAAACAGTACCTTCTGAATTAACTACCACTGAATAAAATCTTATTAGCCTTGGCATGTCAGAATACAGTATATTACTGTATCTTAAAGAGCAATGGAAGAGGAGAGTGACAAACACAATACCCAAGCTTTCTGTCCTTTGAGAGGTCCACATTTTCTTTACAAGAATCCAAAGTCACATGTGTATACTGTGTAGCTACCATATTTTCTGAAATATAAAAAAATTATAGACAGACTTATTACATACACATGTAGACACAAATACCATTTGATATGGTTACAAAGACTGGAACTCCTTTTCATACTGACTTTCACTACAATTTCAAAATACTGTTGTACTGTAGTACAAAGTATTAAGACCGGAATTGAAAAAAAAATTTACTTAGGGTTCAAAGAATAAATAACAAGTCCACTATAGACAGGATGACCAGACCACTGAAAGTTACTGGCATCGGGGCAAAGTATACCTCGTTTCAGAAAAATCTGCTATGAGGACACAGAGGGAGAATAAAAGGCTGCAACCCTTCCAGAGGGCTTTATATTAAAGGTTTGTGTGTCTTTTAGTTTAATGGATTTAGATACTGGCAGAACTTGAATCACTGTTCCTTCTAACTTAAAAACAAAACAAACAATTCATCTTTATTGACAGTAGATGGGACAGAATTATAGACTAAACTTTACCAAGTTGTTTAGTACTATGTAATACTACTATAGGCAAGTGTTATACTGGATTAATTTTTATCTGATGGTTGCTTATAAACAAATACCACTACTTATTAGTACTAGAACATTAGCTTCTATTTAAGAACCACAACGGCAAAGACCCCAAGAACAGTAACTATTGGCACTTTGAAGAACTCTTCATGGATTAGTTTTTATCAATTTAAAGAACTTAAAAAAAATTGAGTAACAAACTTGTGATGGCATTTAAAAATAGTCCATGTGTGAACTAACTTCTGTAAACTTTAGAAAAAGAATAAAACATACTGGGTTAGTACTCTAAAAAATATCCTTATTCCTCAGTCAATTTTTAGATTTTTAGGTTCATAATCCCATTAGAATATCTTTCATTTAGTAAAGTAAAATTCTCCAGCAGTTATTTAAACACTGTTTTAAAACTTGTGTGTGTGCTCGAGTGAGCGCACGGAGACGAGCAGACAACTTCTGGAGTTCTTCCTGCCATGTGGGTCCCAGAGGTCAAGCCCAGGTTGTCAGAAAACACTTTTACCTGCTGAGCCATCTCAATACCTTCAGAATTGCTTTGGTAAACATTTATTCTTTCTAAAAAGTACTGACAGTGATATAATTTAGCTAGTAAGCTGACAGTTATCCAAATGGCATAATGCTTCCGGATTGAAAATGACCTAATACCTGTGTTTATTGTAGTGACATTAGAGTTAAATTCAAATGTACAGTGTTGACATTTTTAAAATTAGTTTATGCATATGGGTGTTTTACTTGTATATTATGTCTATGCATCTGAGCATGCAGTACTTGCAGAGGCCAGAAGAGGCCATCAGATCCCCTAGAACTGGAGTTACAGACTGCTGGGAGCTTCCTTGTGGAGCCTGGGAACCAAACCCTGGAGGACTGAGCAGCCAGTGTTCATAACTGCTGAGCTATCTCTACATGTATATCTTTTATATAAATGTTACATTAGGCATGAGGTTGAAATGAGGACTAATAGGAGTTTTATAATTTCTCTTTTGAAATCAGACAAACATGTGATTTTCTATGCATATTATACTTGTCCATGTCTAAATACACAAGAAATTGGTCATCAAAAGAACAAATAACCCAATAAAAAAAATGGGGTACAGACATAAACAGAGAACTCTCAACGAAGGAATCTAAAATGGCTAAAAGACAATTAGGGAAACGGTCAACATCCTTAGCCATCAGAGAAATGCAAATCAAAACAACTCTGAGATTTCATCTTACACCTGTAAGAATGGCCAAGATCAAAACCACTGATGACAGCTTATGCTGGAGAGGATGTGGGATAAAGAGAACACTCCTCCATTGCTGGTGGAGTGCAAACTGGTACAGCCCCCTTGGAAATCAGTATGGCAATTTCTCAGAAAATTAGGAAACAACCTACTTCAAGACCCAGCAATACCACTTTTGCATATATACCCAAAGGATGCTCAATCATATCACAAGGACATGTGTTCAACTATGTTCATAGCAGCAATATATGTCATAGCCAGAACCTGAAAACAACCTAAAGGCCTCCTGACTGAAGAATGGATAGATAAGATGTGGTACATGTACGCAAAAGAGCACTGCAGAGTGGGAAAAGATGACATCTTGAAATTTGCAGGCAAATGGATGGATCTAGAAAATATATTGAGTGAGGTAACCCAGACCAGAAAGACAAATATAGATAGTAAGTACTCACTCATAAGTGGCTTTTAGACATAAAGCAAAGAAAGACCAGCCTACAATTCACAATCCCAGAGAACCTAGACAACAATGAGGACCCTAAGAGACATACATGGATCTAAACTACATGGGAAGTAGAAAAAGACAAGATCTCCTGAGTAAATTGGGAGTGTGGGGATCATGGGAGAAGGTAGAAGGGGAAGGGGGAGAAAGAAAGGGGAGTTGAAAAATATATAGCTCAATAAAAATAATTATTAATTCTAATATTTAAATAACTTAATCTTTTTGTAATAGTCCTTTCTTTGCTATCAAAATATAACACACTCCCGTTGGATATATGCCTCTAAGTGACTGCACAGGCTTTTTCCACTTTATACCTATTTATTAAATTTTAAAAATATAGACTATGAAGACAAAACGTAAAGAAAGAAAGAAAAGAAAAAGAAAGAACCAAAAGCATGCACACATACATAAGTGGATTTTAAGCCTTTTTACAATTTTTAAACTTCCTCTTTAGTTTCTTCAAGAAACTATAATACTAAACATTACATTTTTGCAGAAGATACTAAAATAATTCAGCACACACCTTTATCTTCTGGACTCTGCACTGAATTTGCTAGAAATCTGTGGAATGGTGTAGATGAAGGCAGGGTAGCAGATGTAAAATCTCCTGTAGTTTTAGAACTGGGAGCCAGGGTTTTGTTGAAGCGAGTACTGCATTCTGCTGAATCGCCCACAAGCTCATCAGTGTGAGGCACTTCCTACAACAGAAGATGAACTGAAAAAAGCAATTTGACTGCTTTGTTGATGAAATTTAACACATCAACACTTTAAGTCAGGCAGTTAACATAGTCCTGGAGTACAAACAACTCTCGAGGGTGAGGAGGTAAAGACGATCACTTGAGCTTAGGAGTTCAAAATCATCCTGAACAACACCAGCAAGCTCCTGTCTCAAAAAACAAAACCCCAAACATTTTAAAATTAAAAGAAAAAAAAAGGACTTAAAGAAATAGATATATAAACCTCTTGTTTTTAGCATACTTCAAAAGAGCCACATAACAAACTTTTTTTTTTTTTTTGAGACAAGGTTTCTCGGTAGTTTTGGAGCCTGTCCTGGAACTAGTTCTTGTAGACCAGGCTGGCCTTGAACTCACAGAGATCCGCCAGCCTCTAACTCCCGAGTGCTGGGATTAAAGGCGTGCGCCACCACCACCCGGCAACAATTAAACATTTTTATCTTGGACATTATTCTTTAAATTTGAAAAGAGTTACAAAGATAGTAAAGAGTTGTTCTCCTTCATTATTTTCCCTCTAATGGTAATCTTGTCTAAAATGTGATTTATTGTAAAAAACAAAACAACAACCAAAAAAAAAAAACCCAAAATGATACTAGTAACTGGAGCCGTTATTTGATTTCTTTTTCCTCCCCAGTCTCCAACATAGATCAGTACATCGCACATGGTTGCTCTGTCTACTTAGCTGCTTCTGATGACAGCCATCTGTGGATCTTTCCCACCCTTTCTTGCACTGATGCTTTGGAATAGAGGTAATGACCTGTGACTGTGTCTCTAGTTTAGGCTTTTATACTAGGGATATATATTTTAGAGAGGACTATCAGGACGATCGCATTAAACTTTGGGAATATGTGCCATAAACACAACATATTTTGTGAAGTTAACCCAATCACTTAGTCAGGTATCCCTGAGACTTCCTTACTGAATTATTTTTCCTCTCCCCACTTTTTTTTTTAAATGTAAATCCCCATGACCTGCCCATACTGAAAGGGAAATAAACCCTACCTTTCACAGGGCATAATCAAAGAATGAAGAAATATTACATTTACTTGTTTGTGTGTGCACTTGGTACACACATGTACCAGCTCTAATGGGAGGGAATGTCAGAGGACAATTATGGGAGTCAATTTTTCTTCTACTATGTGAATCCCAGGGATCAAAGCTGGGTCGTTCAAACTGGTGGCAAATGCCTTTACCTGCGGAGCCATCTCATAGGCCCTCTTAGAGAAATATTAAACCAATAAAGTAATTAATAATTTTGAAAAGATGCTTGGGAGCTATGCAGACTGTTTCTTCTCAGTGACATTAGTAGTCATCCATGGGCCTTGCCTATAGCAGTTCCAATCTTAGTGTTCTAATGGTGACCTTCTACATTCTTTGGAATGCTTCTGTAAGGGAGATCTGTTCTTTCTATCCTGTTGTATGAATATGGATATTCACTATTTCTTAGGTTATAATTTAATATCACCTTACTATTTTCTCTTTCAAATCGTCCCAGGTTTGATCACTGACTTTAGTAGGCTGCTGTGCTGCCCATCCCACTTCACAAAAACATAAAACCAAAACAATTATATCCTTAATTTCTGGCATAAGCTACCCCAGGCTCCTCTTCTATTTACCCTGACATGGCCTATAGAATCAGACATTTCTTTAAGAACATAATTATAGGCTAAGTTTTAGAATCTGTGGGGAAAGAGAACTAAAGTTTCATCAGAACTGAACTTCATAAATCCCTTCAGTTCTTAAAATGCCACATATGCTTTTTATACATCAAATTTTTTCTTTTATTTTTGGTTTTCGAGATAGGGTTTCTCTGTGTAACTTTGGCTGTTCTAGAACTCACTTTGTAAACCAGGCTGGCCTTGAACTCAAGAGATTCACCTGCCTCTGCCGTTTGAGTGCTGGGATTAAAGGTGTGTGCCACCATGCCTGGCCACATTTTTTAAAAACAAATTTCACCATTCCTTCCAGTAATGAAAGAAAAACTGGACAGTTATAAATGCACCAGTTTCTGCTCAGCACCAGCATATATAGAAAATGTACCTTTATTTGTTTGCTAAAGCATGTAGCAGAGTAATCCAACAAAATGTATTTCTAAAAGAGTGGCACTCAATCTAAAATCCAGTCCATTATTTTGGAAAATTGTAAGGCTAAGCAGTTCATCAAAAGATTGAGAGCCTCACAACAGTTAATTGAGAAGAACCTATCATGGACTTAAAACAGGGGCCAGGGTTCAGCAGCACGTCTCAGAATGGGAAATTAACAGTGAGGAATCCTTCCTGGGGCACCACTATCACAGGGGAATGCAGGTTATGGACAAAGAGCATACACGGGGAATTCTCTGGCCCATTGTGAAAGTCTAGATGCAATGGCTGCTGACATACAAGAACACTGCAGGTCAATGAACTGGTGAAGCCTGGCTGCTGTGGTGTACTGATCTATTTTCTTCAGTTTTCTGGGTTACTCACTAATATCCCACTGTAGATCTCAATTCTTATGTCTAAGAAAAACATATACTCCTGGGTGGCACCTCCAACCTAAAGGAATGGCCTTAAGAGGTAAGGATCATACAATTATTTTTATTTTCTCTACTTAATAATAGAATTCTTTTTTTTTTTCCTTTTTCTTTTCTTTTCTTTTTTTCTTTTTTTTGGTTTTTCAAGATAGGGTTTCTCTGTGGTTTTGGAGCCTGTCCTGGAACTAGCTCTTGTAGATCAGGCTGGTCTCAAACTCACAGAGATCCGCCTGCCTCTGCCTCCCGAGTGCTGGGATTAAAGGCGTGCGCCACCACTGCCCGGCTTCTTAATAATAGAATTCAATTCTGTTAATGAACACATTTTTCATGCAACATTGGATTTTCCAGAAGTTGCACATACCTTATGCCATGTGATGAGCATAATCATTTGGTAAAATTAAGGATAGATTCTAAGACCTATTTCACTAATAAAGCAGAGATTTACTTACATTTGATGTTGAAGGAAATTTGCTAACAGAGCGTTCTCCAAAGGTCCTGGCTCCTGTGGGCTTATTTTTAGCCTGTGGTAAGCTAAAGAAAGATTTGTATAATTATAAATCATAAAACATACAAATGAAATAAATAAGCTTAAAGTGTTAGAAAAATTTGTCACTTATCCTAGGTAAGGAGTTAATGGTCTTACAAAGATTCCTTACTTTTACAGCAACTATAGCAAAACTGGGTCCAAATTGAATTAACTGTCAGTAGAAGACATTTTTATTACACTGGGTTCCAAATTTTAGAAGCACATTAAACAAGGACTTTGACCAGTAGGATGTCCTGGGTAACAGGTAACATTCTAAATCTTTTTTATAGTGTCTATACAAGATATGGATATCACTTCTGCAAGCTGGTCACGCTGTCTCCTTTCTACCTCAGTATGAAGGTCCTCCATGCCAAGATGCCTATAACTCACATAGCTTCATTTGTTCCTGAAAATACCTGATGTCTCCCTAATGAGGTGTTCTACATTTTCTCTGTAGTTATGACTCAACATAAGCCGCTTTCTGTTCTACTTTATTGGCCCTGTACTTTATGGATCTAATATAATTTCAAATTCAGAGAATCCATCTGTTCTCTGACAATTTATAACTAGACTGCATTTCTTTTTCAGCTGTGCTTCTGTTACAGGAGGTCTGTTGTCTTGAAACTCATGCACTGGAACCCTATCTCCTCACTGCCTTACAACGTTCAAGTCCTGAAGGCTCCTCTACAGCATATGATGGCACTGGATGACATATACACCCCGCCCTCTGACTTTATTTTAAATAGACCTTTCTTTACCCATAATTTTCTTTGTTTCCATCTTCAAAAATAGGAAAAGCAGATGGCAAAGACATCTTATTAACTCCCCAAGCTCCAGAGGATACGGCATTTTCTACAAGAAAACAAAAACAACATCTCATTATTATCTTACAGCTACCTGTAAGAAAAAGTGCTGAAATCTTCAAAATACTAGGTCCTAGGTAATAATGACATAAGCTGCTGTACAGGGAGGTGAAGTGACTGATTCACAGCCCAGTGGTGATCCTGAAACATACAGAGCAGTGTCCACCCTCCTATAATGTTGCTACAGAGCTCTTTCAATAAAAACACACAAAAGTTGTGGGAATTTTTGTTGTTGTTCATGTCCTTTAAAAAAAAGGATTAATGTTTGTTAATTTCCAGTCTTCCCAATTCTAAGTAGACTTTATTTATCCTTGTCATGATCTTTGGCTTCCAGCACTGCTGGGTTCCAAACTCTACCTAGACATCTCTCAAGTTGAGAACTTACTGTTCCTACCCATGATGCTTTTGTCTTTTAGCACTCACTATTAAATAACAATAAAAAAAAATCCAACTTAGCAAAAAACCCAAACCAATATCACATACACTGTAACCTTTTCAAACTGTCACATGCAAAATGTATTCATTCCTTGCTCTTACATGACATACTATTCAAAGGCAGGGCCACATCTAAATCTTGATAATGTCTATAGCAACTTCCTGTGATACTGTGTATTTAATAGTTTTCTAAATAAATCATTACTTTGAAACTGGGCTTCAAATGCATCTTCATTTTGATCTAGAGAAGGCCACTCTTCTTTATCATCAGAAATATCAGGAAGTGTTGGAGCCTGAAATATATTCATGATGAAACCTTATAGAACAAAAAAAAAAAAATGTCAACAGGCAAAGATTACAAATCAGTTTTTATTAATTTGCATACAAACAAAATATTTTACCTAATGCTTCCTTGGTGTGCACAGTTGGTGATGGCTGCACTTTGGATGGTGTTGCTTGAACCATTCCCAATGATGTGTTTGGAGTTGTGTGAAAAGAATTAATGCTGGCAACCTTATTTGTTTCACACACTAGCAAAGGAGTGGGACAAAAGGTACTTAGTATCAGTATGTCACTCAGAACACATTAGAAGGCACATGATTACAGTAATTACAATTTAAAAGTTTGCCAATAATAATTATCACTATTTCCATTATCTTTGATTAAGCTTTCAAATATTCATGTTTATCTTTGTAATAATACCATGAAGTAAGGTCAAGAACTGTCCTTTTTATAGAAAAATAAAGGTTACATCAACGTAGAAGTTTTGTCATGCAAAGAATTCTTAGCTCACAATATAGGAGGGAATGATCACATTGCTGTGAGTCTTAAGGAAGTTTTCATTTCATTCAGCTGATGTTTGCTCAGACTTTCTTTCTCTTCCCCTGTTCATCTGGAAGCGCTGACATCTTTAGTGCTTACACAGAAATATTGCTGCCTAAAAGCTTCACACTTGTTCATTCTATCTGAACCAGGTTCACCGAGTTTGCTGCATAAGTAGTTTCCCTTTCCAGCCCCCCCACCTAAATCTTACTCCAGCCATCCTTCCTAACCACCTTCTTTGAAACCTAACTCTCCACCCTAATATTAACACCTCTTTTCCTATGGAAATCCTCCCCTTTTCCATTGTGATTGCCTCACTAACTACTTAGAACTATGCTTTGCATCTAGCCAGCGTGAACCAAGTCTTGGTGCACTAAGTCTCTACTTCAAATAGCCCCGTTCCTACTGTTAGTGGAAAGGATGCCAGTCACAGAAAGAGGGGAAGTGAATGACCAAACGGTGACTTTATTACTTAATGAACAAAATTATCTTCTATGAAAATGCCTCCACTGTGGTTCCAAACAGAATATAATACTAATTAAACTAATCCCCTTTCCCATCTAATGCATTAACTATGCCTTTCAGATTAATACACTGAGAAACTTAATAGAAAAATGCCAAAGGATTCTGAAAAAGGAAGATGTTACTAAAAAATGAATTTCTATTTTTTTTAATGAATTTTTATTTTTGACCAAAAACTGTCTGAGGCTTTATAACATCATTCTTACCCTCTAAAGAGTAAGGCCATCCTACACCACAATCACAATACAGACACTGAGCAAACCAAGACTACTCAAACAAGTTGGATAAAATTATTATAATGCAACACTACCTTCTTTTGTTTCTGGTCCACTCTGTGGCATGAATTCATGAATACTTTGACTTACACACCTGAAAGAGAAATCTCTTGAAACACACTGAAGAATAAAAGCACTTTACATATTAGAATTTTTAAGTAACTCTCAAGAAACAATAAAATATTGCCAACAATGCTAAGTCTGTTAGGGTGAGGATAAAATTGCTTAAGACCATGGTATAAGTAAATAAAATATTTATTGCCTTTGAGAATAGTAATTCTTTCAAATAAGGATAACCATTGAACATTTTAGTGAGACCCATTGGATCTGCCTTTCAGCACAATAACAATCATCCCTTCATGTGACAGGACAGAATGATGGTTTCACAAATTCAAACGCACTTCATTTATGGTTTATATTAAAGGCCCAAGATCTAGTTGCAGGCACTGTGTGTTAGTGGAACTAGTACCTTTCTTGTACTAGTTACCTGAAACTACTAGTGATAGCCAGATTTTAAATTAACAGCGAGGATGAAGGGAAAAGGTATCAAACCACTTATATAACAGCTTGCTTTTAAATCATACTGGGGCAATCAACCTCATCTGCCTAATACTGCTAGAATTCGCTTAAGGAACCTTATTAAAATGGTAAGCAAAGTACAAATCACTTTTAGTTTTACAAATTCCTATCAAATTGCAAGATAAGCAATGAACAACCAAAGACAAAAATGTAAAACAAATAAGAAATTATTATTTCTGAAACTTAACTTTCAGTTTGCAGTTTACAGCTATATATTCTGAATGTACAGTGAGAAACTGCTTGATGTTTATAATTCAAGAAAAAGAGTACAAAGTAAACAAACAGTATAAAAGAAGTGTGGAATTAAGTGTGAAAGATTCAAGGCCAATATTTTGAGAATCATTTCAGCAAACAAAAATTTAAAAATAAGAATCATTCATCTTTTATACAACATATTACTGTAGATCATGAAAATAAATTATACATGCAATGCATATCACTATCCCCTCCAGGATAACATTTAGCTTACCTGGAATCTGTCACTGACTGGCCACTTCCAGGAACAGGAAGAGCTGGCTGGCTGGCAGCTGGGATCATCAAAGCACTGTTAACAGTATTTACCACATGAGGAACCGAAGGTGCATTCTGTGGTTTCTGTCCTGAGTTCTCTGAGGTCTGCTGATTGATGGATGGAAGACTTGGAACCCTCAGTTCCTGCTGGGAGCATGTATTTGGTCCCATGCATACTGGATTAACCTTTCATGTTGAACAAAAATATTATTAATCAGTCATTACAGCTTTTCAAAGCACAGCAACAAAATAGACTAGCCTCTGTGATGGCTTCTTGTAGCTTCTTAAACAAGGACACACCAAAAGCTTATAGCTATTTTTTTTAATTATTATTTATTTGTGTGTGTGTGTGTGTGTGTGTGTGTGTGTGTGTGTGTAGGTGCATACATGTGTAAGTCAAAGGACAACTTTTAGGAGCTGGTTCCCTCTTATTTGTTGGGCTATGGTCTCAATTCTCTGTACCACATATTCTGATCTAGCTGGCTCACAAGCAACCAGAAAATTTCTGTATGAGAGTTGGGATTACAGATGTGTGCCACCATATCTGACTTTTCTTTTACATGTGTTGTTGGGATCAAACTCAGGCCATCTGGCTTATACAGCAAATACCTCTATTGGCTAAAATACCACTCAAGCCCAGCATCTTATAATTTTAACCACTGAAAAACAAATTGGCATCTATAATATTAGTATTTAAGTATCTCAGGCTGGGCAGTGGTGGCACACACCTTTAATTCCAGCAATTGGGAGGCAGAGGCAGGGTGATCTCAGTGACTTCAAGGCCAGCCTGGTCTATAAAGTAAGTTCCAGGAGAGCCAGGACTATTGCATAGAGAAGCCCTGTCTTGAATATTATTATTATTCACTGCTCAATCCATTTTCTTTCTTTCTTTTTTGGTTTTTCGAGACAGGGGTTTTTTGTATAGGGCTATCCTACAACTCATTCTGTAGCCCAGACTGGCCTTGAACTCACAGAGATCTATCTGCCTCTACCTCCCGAGTGTTAGGATTAAAAGTGTGCACCACTACAGTCTGGCTAATTCCAAATTTTATATATCTTTCTATATCAAATTATTTTCAAATTTGGTATGATTCTTAGCTAAACTAGAATAACTACAGAAACAGGCACAAAGGGCAACAGCTAGCAGCAGTAAGGATAAGCTACAGCAGTGAAGAACATGAACGTACGTCAGGCCTGTTCTGGGAAGCAGGCAGGTCCTTGTGAGACAACTCCACCACCTGATGCAATTTCTTGTGAAGTTCATCCATTTTCTGTTTTAACAGTTGCTCTTCAAAGGCACCGGCTTCTTTCCTTTTCATATAATGTCTGTCTTCACTAACTTTAAAAAACATTAAAAAAGCACGGTTTGCTCTCAAAATTTCATCAAGTATTATATGCAAAATGAGCAAATGTTCACAATTTAGGATACTTTTTAAATCAAAATTTTCCATATTTTTTTGATTTTAGAACTGAAACTTACATCACCTTTTAATTGAAATCTTTACCTGTCCTCACCACTGTTACTATTAAATATAGGTTATGTTATAAACAACAAAAACCTATTATGTGATCAATAATATTTAGCAATGGTATTCTAATACTGAACACTTCTTATAAAACAATCATACTGTACTGTAAATCACTTGAAAATGGTTATCCATTCATTTTTTTAAATTATTTTGTAACATATTTGTATATGTGTTTGTGTTTACGTGCACATGTATATATGGCTCCAAAAAGCCCCAGGAGTAGTCTAGGCTGCCTCTGCTAACCGAGTGCTGCGATTAAAAGAGTGTGTCATCACATCTGTCTTTTTAATGTGATTCCTGGGAATCAAACTCACATCCTCATTATTGCATGGCAAGAACTTTACTGACTGTGCTATCTCTCAATCTCCTATTATTCCCCACTTCAGATTTTAAAAAATGTAACTCTAGGCACTTTTCAAAAAAATATTAAAGTATTAAAGGGCACAAATCCCAAGGGAGATATGAATGTGGAATCAGAGAACAACTTGCTGGTTCTCTCCTCCTACCATGTTGTCTTAGGATTAGAACTCAGATAGTCATACTTGGTGGCTTTTAATTGTGTGTGTGTGTGTATGTGTGTACATGTATGTATGTGATGGTGCCTACAGAGGCTAGAGATGTTGGATCCCCCCGGAGCTGTGTGTTACAGGGTGTTGTGAGTCAACTAAAATGGGTGCTGGGCACTGAACTCAGGTCCTTTGCAAAGACAATACCAGCTCTTAAAGCTGAGCCACCTTTCCAGCGTCTCCTCTTTAGGAAATAAAGTGTACAAGGTCAGAGTTTCAACAAAACTTTGGATAGTTCTATTTCCAATAAACATCAAATATGGGCACACTCCAAACAAATCAGTCTGCCTTGAGACTATAAGTTGTGGCACATGAAAGAAAACTATCTATGGCCAACTCAAAATGGGTCCTCCACAAATATTGACTTTTCTCTATGGTTGGTAAATATAAAAATAAGGAACATAGGGATAGAAATGGCTCAGTAGTTAGGAGAGCTCTTGCAAAGTTCAGCTCAGTTGCTGGCACCTCTATCAGGCAGCTACCACCCTTTTCTGGCCTGTAAAGGACACTGCACTCATATGCACAAACCCATCACACATAACTTTAAATTAACAAATCTTTAAAAAGATAATGAAGAAAAGGTTCACATGGTAGATGTAGTCCAAATAACCTACAGGGCACAGAACCCTGAGTGGAGAACAAAGGTGTCTAAGGCCTATGCTATAGTAAAAAATCAAGTACAAAGGTACATTTCCTTATGAGGAACAAAGAATATTTGTTCTATAAACATAAATAACTTTGGCGTGCTGATCAGAAGACTACTTCTACATGTTTTGTTTAAAGTAGATGCAAACTTGGAAAATCTCTTCTTAACCTCAGTTCTCAATTAAATCCTTTCAAAGAGCAAATAAATGCTCTACAAATTTAGGACTACTGTATATAGAGATTCAAATTCACATAGATGATATGGAAACACTATCCATTTCACTAATGCAAAGAAAACACCAGTAAGGACGTTTACTGTAGCGCTGTTTCAACTGTCAGTGGTGTTATCAGTTCAGCAATTGAGCCTGTGGAAAAGCATGCTGCGAGGCTAGTGTCTCTAACAAAGACTTCTAGGCTTCTGAGAAAAGCTCAAGACATTCTCTTGTCTTTTCATTCAGTTATGTGATTACTCATCATTTAAAAAGACACATACAAAAAAGTGTGATATAAGAGTGCAAATACCCCACTGTTCATGTTTCCTCCGTTGATTGTATTTCTGGGCTCTTAGTTCTTCAAAGGAAAATTCTGAATCCCCACGAATAAGCTTTTCCTTGCAGTACATAACAACCTGCTGAGTGTTAGCCGTGGGTGCCACAGATGAGCTGACAGAGCACTCTGATTTGGAAATCACGATCACTCTTTGTTCCTTACTGGGGAGAAAGACACCACTTAAAACAGTGCACTAAAGTAACTTGAAGGGAACTTAAGTAATAATATACTCATTGTACTTGCATATTTGACCTGTTATCACAAGAGGATGGTGTCACACCAGAACATTCTGGGCCCTACAAGACAGAAAACAAACATGAGCATTCACTTACCAATGAGAAACCTTCACACAAATTACTTCACAATTCATCTGAAAATGCTCCCTGGGAAGAAGCCTCTTAAACGCAAGTAGATTTACATGTTTATGAAAATTATGATTAATAGTTGGAGCTTTAGTTGGCATTATTTTTACTTAACTTTTCAAACTGAGGTCCCCCCCAAACAAAACAATTAATTTATATTTAAGAAAATAAAATTTCCACCTTTTGTCTGCAAGGTCCCTGGCCAGCAAGGGGCCCTGATCCTGTACCACAAGACCCATCGGAGGGTGAATGTGTTCAATCCCCTAAACTTTCTGGTCATTCTGCAGGGGCTTCTCTCCCCTGCCTCTCTCCTCCTATTCCATCCCAGCTTGCTCCCAGGCATCCCTTTCCTTCTTCGGAGTCATAAGATCCCCCAGCTCAGCCTGTTTGGGGGATGGGACGGGTTGGTGAATGCAACCGGGCAGGAGTTCCTTTGTTTCACTGAGTCTGCAAGCAGCAAGCTAGTCCTTTTGTCTGTGAGGTCCCTGGCCAGCAAGTGGCCCTGATCCTGTACCAGAAGATCCATCAGAGAGAAGAAAGGAGTTTCACCATCCTTCAGTCTGTATTGCGATCACAGATATGGAACTGGGACTGAACGAGCATGTGATCAAACCGGACCCTCTGAATGTGGCTGACAATGAGGGCAGACTGAGAAGCCAATGATAATGACACCGGATTTTGATTCTACTGCACACACTGGCTTTTTGGGAGCCTAGTCTGTTTGGATGCACACCTTCCTAGACTTGGATGGAGGGGGGAAGGCCTTGGACTTCCCACAGGGCAGGGCACCCTGACTTATCTTAGGACTGGAGAGTGAGGGGGAGGGGGAG